GTGTCAACTACTTCTTAGTTAGTTTTCAGTTGGCGCAAACCCTTTTTTCGATTTTTTCAATTTTTCGAAAAACTTACACTGGGTGAACTCAAAAATGTAGGCCACTTACAGGCCTAAGATTTTGATTTTCTCATTTTCTATCGAAAACAAGACTCCAAGCAAATTTTTAGCCAATTCGGAGAGGGTCGATCCAATTCTTGGTTGATTTCGTGTGGAATGGTCGATATATGTTAGGTACCGTTGGAAAGGGGTATCCGCACTATTTTCCGAAAACGATTTCCCGAAACAACTTTTTCCCGAAAAAAAATCCCGATTTTTTTTTTTCAAAATCCCGAAAAATTTTGTTTCTCGATAAGTATCCCGAAAAAATTATCCAGAATTTTTTTATTCCCGAATCACAAATTTCCCGAATACTAAAATCCCGAATCGAACAATTTGATTTCCCGAAAATCCCGAAAATTCTTTATTGAATTATTTCTATCTATTTTGAAATGAAAAATGGTATGGTTAACAACAGTGAGGAGTTTCACAAGAATGCGCGCGCGCGAGTACACCATACTGTACAAGCTATTCTAAACTGAACAAAATGCTTCGTATGAAGATACGATACTGAAATGTAAAAATGGTGCGATCAACAAAGGTAGGGAGTTCCATAGGACCGAATGAGCGCGCGCGATTGAAGGTCCCCTGTGCTCTCCTCTCCACCTCTATTGGCATTAAAAAATTTATTTTATTTTAAACTGTGGAAAAATATTGCATAGAGTGAAATCAGGAAGCGAGAGTGAAAGTTCGGTGCACGGTGTTGACGCTTTGGGGCTATTTTAACTGGGAACTGTCAAGAAACCGTAGTGTTGATATTCATATTCTAAGAAGTTCCGAAAATGAAGTTGTGCTGGAATTAATTCTGTTAACTCTATTTATTATTATAATTTTTCAATTTCGGGAAATTGACTTTCGGGAATTTTTTTTCGGAGATTTGATTTTCGGGATTACATTTTCTGGAAAATCAGATGTTCGGGAAAAAAAAGTATTCGGGATTTTTTTTTTCGGGAAAATGTCTTCCCGAAAAGTGGCATTTTCGGGATTCAGTTTCGGGAAAAAAATCTTTCGGGAAAAAGTATTTTCGGGAAATGGTGCGGCAATCTTGGAAAGGTCTTGGCCCAAATAGTCGGAAATACCATATGCCTAAAGTGTGGTCTAGGCAAAAATATAGCGGTTGGAAAATTTCGATAAATTTTCAAATCTATACCCATATCCCACAAAAGGGGTACCCAGGGGGTGATCTGAGGAAGACAAGCTCCACCTCGCCACCTTTCCAACGCCGGTCGAAGCGCTCCGATTAGTCCAAAAACGAAAAAGTTATGGGCATTGGCAGTTTGACCATGGTTTTTCATGAAAGTATTGATTCGGATGTGCGTCCGTACGTGTGTTCGGAAACTTTTTTGACCCCCACAGATTCCGGTGCCGATATGATCAAGCTGTAGCTAGTGTCGAGCCACATCGAAACCCGTCCCCAGATTGACATTTGCATTACAGGAGAGCTGGCTATGGCATCACTAGCCTGCATGTATACGATTTTTTCAAGTATTTATTTCGCACACTAGATCAACTCAGACACCCATCGACCAATGTCAGCTCGTAAATATTTGAGAAGACCTTCAAAAAATTCCATACATACATGCCAATGTTTATGTGATATGAAAGAAAAAAGTCGATTTTTATGAAAAATCGACCCCCTTAAATTTCACACCAAACGCGATTTCTAAAAAATCAGCCCGACATTGTTTTACCAAAAACTGAGCGTTTGTAGCAGGCTACCATACCAACAAAATGGCATATGCCACATATCCGGGAAAATTCGTATTTCGAAGTTCTGGGCATAGGCAATTCATCAATGAACGGAATTTGTACGAAGAGTCGCATTCTACGATGAAATTGCTGCCAAAAATACGCATCTACTGGCTGAAAAAGGCTCACGAAAGACCATATCTGCTCAATTTTCATGATGCGATCTGAGGGCATTTAATGGTCGAAAAATAGGTCGGATTGAAGTGAATTTTTCAACTTGCTCTATTTTCACTGAAAATGATGTTTTTGTTCGGAAAACACGTGAAATAGACCTCTGACGACATTTTGGTCTTGGAAAACTGCTATTTGTTCGTGAAAATAATGGGAGTCCACGAACACTTGAATATCCATTTCGTTGTCATTTTGGTCATAAATCGGCATTTTGGCATCTGAGTGTATGATATTGAACTTTTGCTCGGGGGATACATAAAAAATGCACTTTCTAGAGCTTTGGTGGTTGGAAATTAATATGTTTCAATAAATTAATGGGTCTAAAATTACTCCAAAACTCTTTTAATGGATATTTTGAAATTTAATCACATTTTACAATGTCCAATAAGGGGAAAATGGGACTTTTTTAATGAAAGTGGAAAATTGCTATTTACAAAACTTTCGAAATGTGGATGCAAATGGTTTACCCAAAAAATTACAATTTCCCAATGATAAGACCTTAAAATAGACATATTTCTGGCAAAAGTGTATTTTTTCCGAGAATAATTGCCTTACAAAATTATAGACTAAGAGCCAGTGATAGTAGACTATCACCTCATAAAATTCCTGGATCATAGTACTAATAAAATGATTTAGTCAACATAACAAACAAGAAAGTATTTTAGAGCACAAGAAAAAAATATGTCCTTCTTATTAATCCGCGCTCCTGGATATTTACCAAAAAACATGACAATAAAAAATTAAAATTCCCGTATGATATTTTT